ATAACATAAAAATTGATTTTCCGAAGATCTTTTTTATTGTTGATTTCCCCCTTTTCTGTAGCACCTAGCCCATATATATATATAATAATAACGAAATTTAGATCCAAATGGCCTTATTTGCTACCGATTTTCAAATCAACTTTAGATTTATGGCCATAACTCAGCGTTTACCCTTCCCGTAATTAGGCGTCCAAGGCCCCAAACTATCATTAGCATAAAAATCCATTGGATATGTAGGCTGCCAATCGACTTCGTCTAATACAACAGATGCTTCATAAGGAGTAAGTAGCGGTTTGGAAAATGCGTAGCCCCAGTCAATCGACAGACGCGGACATGCTATTTGAATCCATCTGTGATTTGATAAATAAGAATTATCAATCCTTCATGTGTATCAAATGAGTGCAAGAATAAATACATATAACAAAACTTACGCATCAATATCCTGAAATTGCTCCAATTTATTAGGAAATATTTCTGAAAGCAAGATACAAATATAATCTAATCCTCGAGAACGAATTTTTTCTTCGAGATACTGTTCAAATATAAATTTTGCTGCCTATTTTAGCGCGTTTTGCACTTAAATATGACCAATTGGATATAGCGACGGTTTGTTTATCGTTCAGTGTATAACCATGATTAATATGTAACAACGGCTTCAAGCCGGCGCTATCGCCACATTCAATGAATCCTTGTTTTTAAATACCTCCATAACTTTAGGACTACCTTGTCTGCCCAAAGTTCCTAGAATTAACCCAAATTTTTTTGCCTTTTTAGCCAAATCTATCGCATGTTTACGAAGTGCGTACATGTCTGCATGGTCATAGCGTTCTCGAGTAAATTTTTTTGAATATGGATCATATCTATAGAAAATTGTTATAAAGATTTATTTTATTGGTGCTATTAATATCTAGAAATGAATTAGAAATTCAAATTACCGAAACGATGGAACATCAGGATTAGCAATCATTATTGACTCTAAATGAAATCTTCCGTCACCCAGATATCTGGAAGAACAAAATATAAATAACCATATTCAAAATTGTTGTAATGTAATAGCTAAATTTTCAAACACAATATTTACATTAACGCGTCTTGCTCGCCTAATTTTGGTGACGTACATCCCAAGATTTCTCCGGGTGACAGTGGTTTCGACTGAGGCACAAATAACGAATAATCACTTTCTAAATGTTTTTTTACTGCCTGTGTTTGCATTATTTTTACAAATAGATGTTATTTAAGATTAAATATAACCACCCTAAATCATAATAGCCTTATTTTACCTGAATAGCTGTAACAAATTGGATTGTACCAACAATTGCCAATTTTTTCTTTGGTTCAAAATTCTTTATTATAGTATTCAAGAAATGTTCAATATCAATTCCAATATCCACGAACACGTAAATTGTTTTAATAGTCGTTACATTCACAGGAACTATATTAGAAACATATTTACTTTAGATCTTGATCTTAAAAACAAAATGCAAATTAAATATTATTAAACAAGAGTAACCTAAGCAACTATGTCCATAATGAACCATAAAATCACATCCTAATGCATTGGCAGTGAAATCATCTACACAGCACGCGCCGTATGTAACATCACCCATAATAAGGGTTTCAACATTACAAAACCTTTATAAATATTATAATTTAATTAGAGAATAAACTGAATAGAATTCGGTTACGAGGTTGTGTACTTGACAATCTA